TTTGAGATGGAGTCTCACTCTCGTTGCCCAGGCTGGAGTACAATGGCACAATCTCGGCTCACTGCAACCTCCACCTTCTAGGTTCAAGCAATTCTCCTGCTTCGGCCTCCCAAGTAGCTGGGACTGCAGGTGCACGCCACCACTCCTGTCTAATTTTTGTATTTTTAGTAGAGAAGGGGTTTCACTATGTTGGGCAGTCTGTTCTCGAACTCCTGACCTCAGGTGATCCACCTGCCTTGCCCTCCCAAAGTGCTGGGATTACAGGCATAGCCACCACACCCAGCCTACTTAAGATTTTTTTATGTTGACAACTAAGACTGGTCTCTCATTTCCTTTTTTAGTCTTGGGTGGGTTCTGGTATCAGTGTTATATTATGCAAATTTTCCTTCTTTTCCTGTGCAATTGGAGCATTCATTTTAAAAAGGATTGGGACTGGGCACAGTGGTTCATGCCTGTAATCCCAGCACTTTGGGAGGAAGATTCTTGAAGGAAGAGCAAGACTCTGTCTCAAAAAATAATAAATAACTATATAATAAAAAAATAAAAACCATTGGAATTATCCGCCTTTGATCATTTGAAAATGTTCACCTTACTTGTAGAGTCACCTACTCCATGGCCTTTTGTGGGGATTGTTCCTTGATAACTTTCTCAATCTCTTTCTTCTTAGGTAACCTTTGTTAATTTTTTTTTTTTTCTAGAAAACATCCAGGTTTTCAAATTTATTTACAAAAACTTTTTATTATTCTTTAATTTCCTCTGTATTAGTGATCATTTTCCCTTCTTGTTTTTAATTTTTATAGTAGGCTGGGCTTAGTGGCTCACCACTGTAAACCCAGCACTTTAGGAGGCCAAGGCAGGAGGATCACTTGAGCCCAGGAGTTCAAGACCAGCCTGGGCAACATGGCGAGACCCTGTCTCTACAAAAAATACAAACATTAGCTGAGTGTGGTGTGCATGCCTGTAGTCCCAGCTACTCATGAGGCTGAGGTGAGAGGATCACTTGAGCCTGGAAGGTAGAGGCTTCAGCGAGCCATGATCATACCACGGCCCTCCAGCCTGGGTAACAGAGGGAGACCCTCTCTCTCTCTCAATAAATAAATAAATAAATAAATAAATAAATAAATAAATAAAAATAATAATTTTTACACTGTGATATTTCAAATTGGTTTTTGGGTTCTTGTTGTCATTGTTTGAGACAGGGTCTCGCTCTGTTGACCCGGCTGTAGTACATAGCTCACTGTAACCTTGAACTCCTGGGCTCAAGTGATTCTCCTACCTCAGCCTCCCAAGTGGCTGGGATTACGGGTGCATGCCACCATGCCCAGCTAATTTTTAAATTTTTTGTAGAAATAGTGCCTCACTATATTGCCCAGGCTGGTCTCAAACTCCTGGTCTCAAGTGATCCTCTTGCCTTGGCCTCCCAAATCACTGGCATTACAGGCATGAGCCACCATACCTGGCCCTCAAATTGGTTTTAGGTTGTCTGGACAAAAGGTATAGTATCTACCAAACTAAATGTGTACAAAGTGAGATATCCAAGGTCACTTAGCAAACATTCTGTCAGGGATAATGAAAACATGAAAAGAACTTTAAGGATTTTTTTTTTAAAGTCTGTTTTTGGAAACAACCAAGAGGAGAGACAAAAGGCACTTCAGTGAGGACTTTAAGCCAGTGACAGCAGGCCTTATTCAGTATGCTCATTTCCTTCTCTGATGTTTGGATAAACACAATATGCCCCATAGAGATTCTCTGTGGTGCAGTTCACCCTGAGTGATTGGGGCTAAATAAATACAGGATTTCCAAATAGTTTAGAATAATAGTAGATCAGTCTGAATCACAGCAGTCGCATGGAGACAGTACTAGGTAATCTCTTGGAAAAATAAAAAATCAGAATAACCAATTATGTCCACCAAAAGAAAATGCTTCATTTCACTTTTTCTATCTTACAGGGATCAAAAAATTCTTCCAAAGTGGGCATGTAGGACAACACTCCAATCTTTCTAGGTTAAGTATTCTCCTTCTGCAGGGAGTAGTGTAAGACATCAGTATATAAATAATTGCTGCTTGAAATGGAAAAATAAAGTAAAAAAAGGGATGCGAAAAAGTGAAAATTGTCCGAAGTAGCAGTCCACCCCCTCACAGCTGTAAATTACTCATCAGTCATTAATGTCATTGTTCTGAGCTGGAGCTGAATCAGCTGTTACCCTGGCTGGAGTGAAGCAGAATTTAATCTATCTTTTCATCATAAGGCTTTTATTCTATGCATCAGTAGCAGAGGAAAGACCAATGCTTTATAGCAAAAATTCTATCCAACTTGACTCTGGAACAATTTGGTTCTAGGTGAATCAGTTACTGTCAGTAAAAACAAGAAGAGTGATTCCTTCCTTGCCAATATTCTGTCACAATCTACAGAGATAAAGGAAGAACAGACATGTTTACTTTTATATCTGCCTCACATTCTCTGGAATCCAGCTACTCAGATTCATTAATATATGCTTTGCTCCATATATACCATGTTTAAAGGCAAATGCTTTAAATAGAACAAATCTGAAATATTAAACTTTCTTAACAATTTTGAGTAGTAATTCTCTAATTTTTATAAAAATATTTTCTTTGATCCTGTCAAACATGTATAAGCCTAAGACATTAATAAACATGACTTCATTAAGAAATAGAGCCTCGGCCGGGCGCGGTGGCTCAAGCCTGTAATCCCAGCACTTTGGGAGGCCGAGACGGGTGGATCACGAGGTCAGGAGATCGAGACCATCCTGGCTAACACGGTGAAACCCCATCTCTACTAAAAAATACAAAAAACTAGCCGGGCGAGGTGGCGGGCGCCTGTAGTCCCAGCTACTCGGGAGGCTGAGGCAGGAGAATGGCATGAACCCAGGAGGCGGAGCTTGCAGTGAGCCGAGATCCGGCCACTGCACTCCAGCCTGGGCGACAGAGCGAGACTCCATCTCAAAAAAAAAAAAAGAAAAGAAAAAAGAAATAGAGCCTCATAATTTATCTGGAAAAAAAGGTACAATGATCTATGCAATTAAATCACATTTGCATATCTATCATAAAGAGTTCTGTTTATTGGTAGATATAAAATTTAATATAATTAGTGAGAAGTTGTGTTACAACTGATTTCTTGGATTTTTGTATCTTTCAACTTGATACAAAGTGAAGGTGTTTTTTTTTTTTTTTCTCTTTCTCCCAGGCTAGAGTGCAGCGGCACGATCACAGCTCACTGCAACCTCTGCCTCCTAGGTTCAACCAATTCACTTGCCTCAGCCTCTCGAATAGCTGGGACCACATGTGTGCACCACCACGCTGGCTAATTTTTGTATTCTTTTTAGTAGAGATGGGGTTTCACCACGTTGGCCAGGCTGGTCTCAAACTCCTGACCTCAGGGGATCTGCTCGCCTCGGCCTCTCACGCTGGGATTACAGGCATGAGCCACTGCACCTGGCCTAACTTGGATTTTTAAAGGTAAGCTAAACATTTCTCAGGTTTTGCTCAAATTCTCCCTCACGCATTCATCTTTTTTGTTATATCTTTACATTCTTCACTTTAATCTTTCCATTCATGTAGGTATTACTTATGACAATCTCCTGTTGCTCCAGTTACCTTCTAAATACTACTCTACCTTTTTCAAAATACACTTGTATTTTTCTCTTCTCCCCTCCTTTTATTGATTTATTTGAAAAAAGTTGCATTTTTTTTTTCTCCTGCTACCACTATATAAACAACCAGCAGGTAAATGTAATTAGATTTAGTATTTTGCAGATATTTTCTGTGGACCACTACACATAGAAGATTCTAATATTTTTAAACAAATAATGTAGAAAGGTACTCACCCACAGTCCCTTCTGTGCCATCCGTTTCCTTTGGGATATAATGTGCAGAAAGATCACTCTGAAGGACTTCATCCGATGTGGCTCTGGCTAAAGCAGCAGCCAAAAAGGAAGGGCAATTACTGAAAGAAAAAAAGGCTATTTTCAGCAAAAGAATTAGGAGGTAATACATTTAACATTACTAATAATTACATATTAATTAGAACATTGTCTCAAAACAAAATTATACCTTTAAACAATATTCAATAAATATTTATTGAGTAGGCACTCTGGGCACTGGGTATATATTGATACATAACACAGACATGGCTCCTTACCTATAGGAGCTACAGGCAGATGACAAACTAATAGGATATAACTTAAAAGTGGGATACGCTTTTTTTTGTTTTTTTTTTGTTTGTTGTTTGTTTTTTAGATGGAGTTTTGCTCTGTCGCCCAGGGCTATGGTGTGATCTTGGCTCACTGCAACCTCCGCCTCCTGGGTTCAAGCAATTCTCCTGCTTCAGCCTCCCGAGTAGCTGGGACTACAGGCATGTGTCACCACGCCCAGCTAATTTTTGTATTTTTAGTAGAGACAGGGTTTCTCCATGTTGGTCAGGCTGGTCTTGAACTCCCAACCTCAGGTGATCTGTCCACCTTGGCCTCCCAAAGTGCTGGGATTACTGGCATGAGCCACTGCACCCAGCCCAGGATAAGTTTTATAGAGGAAACAAACAGGATACAATGACAGAGAATAATAAAGAGGGGTATGTACTTAGATGGAATGGTCAGGAAAGCAACACCTTAAAGGATGAAAAAGACTCAGTTACGTGGGAGTGGGAAGTTAGGAGAGAATACTCCAGGCAGAGGGAATACAATTTATACAGAACCTTTTTTTTTTTTTTTTTAG